CGCTTTCCAAAAGCACTTGTACTGGCATTAATCCAGGAGCGGCTAGTTCTTGAGAACTTGGAGACTTCCCTTTGAGGAGTCTGCGATCCCTGCTGGTTTCCAGCACACAGTTTCAGAAACCATGTTATACAGAATGAAATGGTAAACTGTGATAACGCAAGACTGTTTGTAGCCGTGTCGTGTTTCGTCTACTTATTGCTGTTATTAAATTATGTGCTTTTGTATCAAGGAAATGAAGAGAAAGCATGCTGATGTCTTGAGTCCGTTACTTTATTCCATCTCCGAAACCACTGAACCGACTTTGACGAAATCTGATGCCCGAACGATTTAATTTTAGTCCATGCTGGTCTGATACAACGGCTACTGTTCACAATATGCTCAAATTAAGGGTTATCCATTTTCACATTCATATTTCTTCCTACAAAATACTGATATTGTGGCACATTTGCTCAAGGCAAAAACTGTGAAGCCAGAAGATATAGCCGTTGCTAGGGAACGTCTCTGCAAACACGCCCGTTGCTAGGCAACAGATGCATAACATGCATCAATGGAGTAACTGGGAAGCGATGTTCTCTAAGCGGTCCGTGCGATAGCTACGTGAAGCAAAAACAGGCGGGGTGTTTTCTATGGGATCCGTGTCGAGGTGCAGCTGCGATTATGAGAGTCTTGAGACGGCAGTTAGAACAGTAGGAGGTTGGTGTGAGATGGCCGCCAGCTTGCGAGGACGTGAACCCGGGCGCAGGGGAACGTCCACTGATGAAGACAGCTGACTGAGAAGACTTCGTACGTGCTGTAGTGTGTGAATTAGAGTTAGTGCTATAGTTACTTGTAGTTACGTTCTGTAAGAGTTCAATATCAAATTACAAATGCAAACCCCGTCTACAGTCACTCCAATCACGTGACAATATTATGAAAAATGTAACTGCCTAAATTTTGTTCCTCGTCTGAAATTGTTTTACTAGAATGCATCGGGAAGAGAATAAGATTCCAATTTCAGAATTAATTTGAATGCGAAGGGGCAGAGAATTCGATCCCTCAAGGCACAACAATCTGCAATCGAATTCTCGAAGGTGTCCGTGGGACCCTAAAGAATTTCTTAAGCTCACAAGCTATCACTTCGCAGCAACGAGGAAAAAAGAAAATAAAAGATTCATTCAAGTACAACCTTTGTAATAAAATGAGAAGCAAAGCATAACAATACAACCAGATGTTAGAGGGATGTTTCGGTCGAGAGCACAATGAGGCCCCTTGTGTACATAAATGAATGCGAATCAACATCAAGCAAACAGAAATTCCTTAGCGTGATGTACATCTCAAGAAAGAGAACAGTGATTTTCGTGGGGCGGGGAAGAAGTAATAACCCGCAAATTCTTATGGTGGCCAATTTGGTATCTGCTGTATTATGCAGGCCCAGCACAGCAAAATTAATTTTAATAAAATATGTTCCTGAGATGTGGATGGAACGATAGGAACACCAATGGTTTTCGAGGAGGCTACTGACGTGGGAAATGGATTGTATTGGCTTCATAATCACGCGGGTGGGTCTTCATTTCTGAATAGCTGAGTAACTTGCAGGTTACCCATACCTGGAGGTCATCCCCTCCACCTCAAACTTGAGAACAAGCCGTGTTTGGGTGATGAGGCACCCATTTGGAATCGCCGGACCAGAAAAATGCATCAGTGCATGCGGCCGTCGCGTTCGGTAGGCTGTGCTGCTGAGAAATGGGCGGCACGCAAACACATAATCCGGGCACACAATTCAATCTTTAGGGGTTCGAAAACTGACAGTTATTTCTGACAGGTATACTCAAGGAGATAACGCCAGTATCACCGAAGCAAGAGTAGTGCTGTGCACAGATATTTCAGTGATCCCTGTAATGGAAATAGCATGTCTCCCACAGACCCTCTGCTTCCCAGTGTTTCAGAGCAAACTGCCTACTTCCATAAAACGGATACGGAAAGAATACGAGTACAAGCTGAGTGTAGCTAAATTTCTGGTAGCAGAATGTGAAGGCGACATGCCACTAGGCATGAACTTCAGCCAGATGAGATTTCAGGCTTTTGTCAGTGGATAAAATTAACTTTGTGAACTTCTGGGTGTAACAACATGTAGTTTCTGAGGTGGTTAGCAAAGTTTCGGGGAAATTCTGAGCTTCCCATTTTAAGGTAGAACATGAACATGAAAACGAAGGTAGCAGATTCCTCCGAAACGTCGGTAACCACTTAGGAAACTGCACCACTCAAAACAATGAAGACTACAATCTGAACTTCACGAAACCATCCACCTCCCATCTTCACAGCAGTTCTTCTTAGGATCAGTCATAATTTCATCATCACCTCCTCGAACTTCCATTGGTTATTTTTTCCATCGGTTTCCTCGCTAAGTTTCTGTATGAATTCCATGTGTGTCCCATCTTAGCCATATACGGACCCCTCCATTTCGCTACCCTACTAGGTGAAGTACATAAATCAATAAGTAGATGTTGTCTGCGGTCTTAAATTGGCAATACAACCCATTTCACGCTCCCTAAACTAAATATTCTGAGGGGCTTCATGGTTTTCCTCAGCCTATAGTCTATTTTTAATCCTAACATATTAATAAGTCAGGGTCATTATTTCATGCCACATGACGTAGAATATTATATATATATTGTAACGAAAGGGAGTTAAAGTGTCAGTAAATAAAAATAAATTATTGACGTGGTCTGACCAGGTCTGTAACATTTTATTTACAAGAAGTCCCTGTGCTTAAACACAACAAGTTGTAAACGTAGGGAGAAGCTGAGTTATAGCTCCATGCATTCCTAGCCTGGGCACCAGATGTAGGTGAGAAGCCAGTTTGACGCTCCTGCCGTTTAAACCCTGATATCCGTTGGACATGATGTTATGCCGGATTGTACGTGGTAGCGAATAGCACTGTCTCTAGACGGAATCGAAAATCTTTCGCCCCAACAGAAGTTGGCCGCTATGTTATTCGAGCTACCCCAATTCATTATAATAGATTTGTATCTGTAACATAGAACCGCTTCGATCAATGCAGTACGCAAAATGACAAAGAATGACGCACTTTAACCTCGTGATTCAAAGTTCATGTCATCAAGTTGATGCTTATGGCAGCGTTGCATTCTCTAGTGACGTGTTTGAGAAGTTCTTTTCAGAAAACGTCCTGATCTAGTGGCTTCCGTCATCTTCCCAGAACAGAACAATTCCTTGGACGAAGGAAACGTTCGCACGACACGCGACGTTCTCAAGACGCGGCCACATTTGGTATGAACACTTCCTGGCCCACAACACGGTTCCAATCCTGTTCGCTTTAGGGCGTACTTGCATGTCTACACGTCTCGGTGACGAAGACAGAATCGTAACGCGGCTTGTGCTGTCTCCTGCAACCTGCTGCGCACAGGAGCTAGCCTGTTGGTGGTCGGCCATATTCCTGTTTTCACTGTTCCGATACAAACGACACGAACTGACACAGTAAACGTTTCGTGCTTTCCAAGGAAGAAATTATTCAAACGGAAGCCGGCTTAAATAACAAACTGCCTTTATAGGAACATTTATGTTTTGCTGCAGTGAATACAGGCTGAAGACCGCCTCTGTGGTATAGTGGTTCCTGGCTACAGATCCAGATATCCGGGTTGGATTCCCGGCACTACCAGATTTTCTGAGAAGTTGTGGGTCTGTAACGCAGTCCACTCAGCCTCGTGAGGATAACTGAGGAGCTACTTGAATGGAAAACTAGCGGCTCCGGTCTAGAAACCCGAAATTAACGGCCGTGGGGATTGTTTGCGCTGACCATGTGACACCCTCTATCCGCTAAAGTTGGCACTAATTTCGCCGCAAGCGGCGGCCGCTCGGTCGGTATTGTTCGCTTGCGGACTAGAACCACGGAGTTTCTTGTTTTGTTTTGAATACAGGCTGAAAACCTATGTACGAACACCGAACGAAAGCAAAGCAACTAGAGAACTCTATTAAAGTAACTAAGAATATACCTTAGCGGAAAGCGGTCTACTTATATATTTTAAGCGTTATGAGTTCCTCTCCACAAAGTGGAGACATAATAGCACGACCGTTTCTTTCCATCTGTAAGCAAGTTGTTACTACTAATTTGCAAGCGCCGACATTTTATTTTACTGTGTCTTGAGGGCATATGAAGATAACAAAGTCATTACAGCACAGGTTTCTAAACGGAGAAATTAAGAAATCTAAAATTCAATTTTAGTCCCACAGACTAATTATAGCGCAAATAAATTGTATATATATGTTGTTTTATCAGTTCTGTACTGGAAACGTGAGGGACATGAATGTCGGCCATTAATGAGTTCTGCGACTGACATTTCGTAGTTTCGCTGGACGAAGAAGCCTATCTAAAATGAACGTACACACAGGTCACATGTCCAACCACGTGACTATCCGAAAATTACTAAACAGATTTCTATTAAATGTGGCATTGTGTCTATAATAACAGATCTATTTCTCAATAGAATTTCATTTTACACGACATTAAAATCGAAATTTATCGGTTTTCAAAACCGATCTTCGCACAAAAAATGTACAGATCTAACTGGCATGAAATAATAGAGCTAATACCGAAGTTCATCGTTGGTCAGAATCCCGGGCCAGTTAAATCCGCCTCACAGCATATATTCGTAAGATTTGTCTTAATGTTATTTTCTCATCCCCTCCTCGATCTTTCAATTGGGCTTCTTCCAAGAGGGTTTCACGAAAATGTTGTATACATTTCTTGTCTCATCCAACCTAGTCACATGTAGGTCCAGTGGAGATTCCGCTAGTGACTGCTCAAAATGAAAGCTAACCTTATGGCCTCGAAAGTGCGTCGAGTTATACTGGAGGATGGGTGTGGACTCTCAGTAGATAACGAATATATTTCCAGACATCTTACCGCCATTCGTTTGAAGAACAGAACCAAAACGTTAAGTCAAGACAGCAAGTAACCCGACCAAGATTTGAACCAGAGATCGTCGGTGCCAACATGTACTCACCGCTCTCAGCCAGCGAACGAGAGGGTGAGGTACCCCGACATATGTTGCCTTCAAGACGACCCTGTCCCCGCGGAGTGCTGTGGTGTCTGAGGGTCCCCGGATCAACATTGCCGGCACTTCATCTTCCGTCTGCAGGGACCACGACCCGATGTCGTCGTACCTGGAGTCCTCATCCCTCACCGTGAGTTCCGTCCTGACAACGCATTCCTCGTCACCGGACATCCCGTTACGCGCCGCGCATGTCACTTGTCCGTTGTCACACAGTTCCACCGGACAGATGTGAAGTATGTGAACGTCTCCATCCGACTCCACCTGAAAACACAACACAGTCAAGTGAGTGAGTTCTCAACTTGCTTCACACTTCACATGCAAAGGAAGAACCGCAACTTGTCAAAGCTGTAATGAGGCCAAACATGCTTATATGCATCTTTTCGAAAGAAAAGGAACAAGTTCGATAATATTAATGAAAATACACTTATTCTTCAATAAAAAAGAAAATAATATATCACGAAAACAAAGGACATTTTCTGAAATACGTTCAGCTCGTAACGATGCTTTCGTAGTATTCAGGTAACACAAATTCCAAGGGCCAGGTACCCATAAAGAGAAAACAGTAGGCACTGAGTGATTATTGGATTATTAGCGGCGCAGAGATACGGCAAGACGAACACGAAGGGGAGTCTCTTATGATTTCGAACGAGGCAATCTTAATATGCTCTATGCCACTATCGCAACTACTAAAAATGCTAGGTGAACCTATGAGAAACCTCACTCACGATGGGCAGCAACCTAATCAAGACGCGAACTGGGTACGTTCCCTATACACATACAGGATGTTGCAAGTACACGTATATGCCACTCTCATTGGTGGAAGGAGGTATGGAAAAACGATCAAGGCCTATTTTAAAGTAAGCAGTATTTCACACTTTGCATGATGAGACTACAGAAAACCAGTCTGGACAGCTGGTTCTCGTTGAAGCACACCAAACACGGACTCCTGAGTGTCAACCATTCAGCCACAACGCTCTTTCCGTTGGTGAGCAATGGGGTTTAGAGAACAAGGGAGCGTTCTTTATGCGGAACCTCCGGGAGAGTTCGGGACAGAGCATTCATACACAAGATGCATGATAATATTCGAGCAACTCCGTCAGTTGTCTGTGTAGGGTCCTCTAGGCCGATTTCTGTTATTGCATTTGAGATTTTCACAGCGATGAAAAATACGAACTTCTGGGTTGTAACGCCGCGTAGTTCTGTAGAGAGATCTGGATCTGCTTGCCGCTTTCTTTTCGCACTTTGCTGCTTGACTTATTCTTCAACCACGAAAATGGAAGCGATACATTCTTCCGAAATATTGGTGCACATCTACAGAATTGCACCCATAAAACTGTATTCTTCATGGAAATGGTTGTTCGAAAATTTCAAAAGAGTTTTGACTCCATTTTCTTTCAAAATAATTATTTTACGTCTCAAATAAAATGTTCAAAACTTGCGTAGAGATCACGACACAGTAAGGCGCTCTCCATTCCAGCGTTCTTACTAACTCCGTATGATGAACCCTATGTTAAGGTTATCAGGTATGCCGAAAAGATTGCCGGTCACGGTAGCTGAGCGGTCTAACACATGCACTGTCTTCGCTCGCTCGGAAGCCGGGATAGAGAGTTCGAATCCCACTCAGGGCACGGATGTTTAGTGTTTGTGTATAGGTACAGGCCTTGCGACGACCCGATCACCCGTCCAAGTATTCCTACCGAACATCTAATATCTAGTAAACCTAAGTGAAACGGAGAGTTTCATGGAGGTAAGCCAAGGTTCAAATTAGGGCTGTACCGCCAAAGGGAAAAGATGTTGAAAAGACTACTTACTTACTTACTCATGGAGCTGAGCCCTTCTTGACCAGCCGCCAATTCTGCAGCTACTCAAGAACTTCCCAGCATTTTATGGAACCCGAAGGTTCATTACTGTGTTCACAAGAGCCCTCCACTGGCCCCTATCCTGAGCCAGATCAATTCAATCTAATCCATACCATCCCATCCTACTCTAAGCTCCATTTTAATATTGTCCACCCCATTTTGAATAGGTAGAAGAACTACTACTCTCAGTTATTGAATGCACATAGGGTCAGTGATGTTAGCCAGATGGAAATGCACACAGCTGAGCTGTTAATACCTGATCCTAGCCCTTTTGAGTTTGAAAGTGCTATTGCAAAATTGAAACGGTATAAATCGCCAGGTAGTGATCAAATTCCGGCAGAACTTGTTCCAGCAGGAGGTGAAATATTACATTCTAAGATCCATAAGCTAATTACTTCTATTTGGCATAAGGAAAAACTGCCTGATCAGTGGAAGGAGTCTATTATTGTACCAGTTCACAAGAAAGGTGATAAAACTGACTGTAGTAATTATCGGGGGATATCACTGCTGTCAACTTCATACAAAACTTTATCCAATATTCTTCTCTCAAGGTTAAGTCCATACATAGATGAAATTATTGGGTATCATCAGTGTCGATTGCGACCAAACAGATCAACTACAGGTCACATCTTTTCCATTCGTCAGATATTGGAGAAAAAATGGGAGTACAATGAGACAGTACATCAGCTATTCATAGGCTTCAAGAAAGCCTATGATTCAGTTGGGAGGGAAGTATTGTACAATATTCTGATAGAGTTTGGGATACCTCTCTTCACCAAAATTCAGGGCAAAATCATGACATAACAATAGAAAACAGATGTTTTGAAAATGTGGCACAGTTCAGATATTTGGGAACGACAATAACAGATCGAAACCTGATTCAGGAGGAAATTAAGAGGCGACTGAACTCGGGTA